AAAAAGAGTCAAATTGAATTCGAATTTACTTTCCCCTCTGAAACACATTTTCTACTTTGGAAAACTTTATAATCCTTTCAAATCCCAAGCTGAAGAGCTAGTTAAAAAGATGAGCAAAAAAGTACCAAAACCGTTTTATTGAGGAAAATATATGTTTAAGTTAGGAAAAATACTGTGGGTTCAACTGCAGATTAAAAAACCCAAACACAAATTAAGGATTACCTGAAATTGGTGAACAGGTAAAGCATCAAAAAATTCATGTGCTATGAAAAAAGAAAATCCTTTTGGCACAGTTCTCATGTCATAGTACCAAGTCACTGGTGTACCATATTTTGTAGTCTTTGTTTCAGAATGCAATCTCCCTTGCTTTGAGGTAGCATCAGAGTTCACTATTTGGGGTGTTTGAACCATCTCCAAAGGAATGCCCAACAATTTGCTCTCCTGTAGTTTCCTCATGTGAGGGCTAATTTCCACTAAGTGTAAAGAGAAGTTGGCACTCACTCCCTTTTTCTTGAGTTGAGAAAATGTCTGTAATAATAATTATAACAATAATAATAAAAATAACATATATGAATAGACCAGACAGGACAGTCAAAATGACTACATCAAACTGAAATTGGGTGAAAATTTTAACATGCTTAAACATTAAAGCAATAGTAATTTGACAAAAACATCATAATAGAATTACTTTCAAGGTATAAATCAGATATTAGATAACCTGATAGTAACATAATTAATTTCAAGACAATTATCAAGCATTATCAACTTTTTAATCTCTAATCAAACAATTAGTCATATTTTGGGGGTAGGGGAAGGGGGATATTAATAAAAAAAAAATTAAAGCTTTGATTTGTAACTCACCCTAAGCATATCATCAGCCAGAGTTCCTCTCCCAGGCCCCAGCTCTATTAGTTTAACTTCCGGTGGGGAGCCAAAAGCCATCCACTCATGTATACACCATATGGCTAGTAGCTAAAAGATGCAATAATTGCATTCCAACACTAAGTGTAAAGAGCATTCTACAGTACAGAACTTCTGAGATATCTTTTTCATAGGCATTGGTAATGAACCTCACACATTACATATTCCTTTTTGTTAATTTCAAATGCATCTTGACCATTGTATGTAAACAAAATTTTGAAAAAATGTTCACATGTAAGTAGCTTGTAAGCAGTAATTCAAGTTTGTTAAACCCTACATATCCCTTTCACAAAAACAAATGACTGGGATGCATAACACAACAGGAGGTGTATGCATTGAGTTCAAATATATTTCACCATAGTGAAATTATTTTAAAATGTCCTATAATTTTATCATCCTTACCTCACCAAACATCTGACTGATTTCTGGCGATGTTATGAAATCTCCTTTGGCACCAAAGACATCTTTTTGCATATAATAGCCCTAAAAATATTTTTGCTGAATAATAAATCTACAAATTCAAAAGCAGTTTTGTAGGGAAGTCATGGTGGCTATGGTATATGTTTAATGTGACAAAATTAATTTTGAATGAATTTAGCTATTTTCATTTTATTCTTAATTCTGTATAAATCACATGGTCATTTGAAGATGAAGACATTATCTTTACAAGTAAACACTAGGAAGACCTAAAAAAAAAAAAAAAAAAAAAATCAATGAAGAGCCTTACTGACAGAGGGTTTGTTAACACCATTCTCATATACTCAGAAACAGTGATAGGTCCTGAAAATTTTATCTTTGTCTTCAAATGCTGCAGTAAATCCATCTCTTTTGATTGCACACTATAACATCTGCGAAGTCGTATTGTGCAGGGGATGGCTAAAATGAATTTGTTTTTTAAAGATTTTAAAATTACATGCATAAAGATACAGCATCATAAATCACCAACAAAACTTAAAAACTTAATGCACGTGAGAGGTGAAGGACTATGTACTTCTAAATTTGAGATCTTGTATTGTAAGTGTGATGTTTCCTTTAATAAGTAACCAACCACAATAAATAACAGTACACTAAAGTGTGGATAAGTTCCTGGGCATATTATGCTTTATTACATAGTGTCAATAGTGTCAAAAGTTACTGACCATGTCATAAATACATGATTCAGACACCATTATTTCATTGCATATTGTTATTATTATCATCAATTAAAGTGCAGTGACACTGACAAGTTGTATCTTATCCCGAAAAAATTCCCATAAAATGCACCCTCCGACTCATCTAACTTTAGCTTACACTCACCTCTAAACGACCTGATGCAAAATCTAAATAAATTATTAGCATTCATGTCGATAGCGTTTGTATGGCGCCTATATACTGATTAATTTAACAGACGTGCTTGAATACACGTGTTCGTGTTTACAAATGACAAATGGCGACGGAATTCCCCTCAGCCTCGTTTTCAATACCGGTTTTGCGAGCGCCACGTACGCCTGAGCCAAAAATAATATTGCTTAGCGCATATGTTGGAAGGAATCTTATAAAGGTAGAATATACTTGTAGCGCTTGCACTCAGCAAACAAGAAGCCTGTCAATCTGTGCTTTGATCTTGAATTTTAACGATTTCATTTCTTTGCAACATTTAAGGATTTATTTTTTTGGCGAAGATATTTCCCGGAAGGTTGTCGCTCGATTATAAACAACAAGACAGCTGGGAGAGAATTTCTAGAACAGCATAATAGTTTAAATTTAGATAATAATATTACAGAAAAAATGTGGCTTCCAAAGCTTGGGATTCTGACGGCATACGTTGTCCTAGGAGTGACAGTCACTTTGTCAGCAGACGAAAAAGATTGCTTTTGTAAGGTGAGTACTACTGTATATACGCTGACATTGACAACGAATGAATGACATTGAGATGTACATGTCCAAGATGAAAACATTGATTTTTGCACAACTCTCCAAACACTTAGAACAAACATTTAGAAATAATTCAACATTTTAACAAAGTGAGCTTAAGGTTTATGAGTTTAAAGAGTGTTTTCCTTCCATGACATTTTATTTTAGCTTTTAAAATGAATTTTCTAAAGAGTCTTAGACTATATGTTAAATTTTAAAATATAGGTTGGGATGATATTAAGTGATAACAATTTATGAATCATTGTCAGTCAATGTGTCAGATGGCTGAGGACATCTGATAGCAGTTTATGTAGCTTAATGGGATCTGAAATGGCCCAAAATATTGATACTTTGTGTTGGGGGTGGTCGGCTCTTGCCCTAGTTAGATTCCACTTTACCAAAATAACACGATTCAGAGCTGGGCCTCTGAGGACATGTGTTTTGATAGTGCCCTTTGCAGAGTTGAAAGCGGCTTTTAAAGTGTGTTAGGCTTCTCGCCTTTATTATGAGGAAAGATTGTCTCTGATAGGAAGGTAGGTGTCTCGCCTACCTAGTATGAGATTTATATACCTGTAGATACCGATATACATAGGGTGCCCTGAAAAGATTGATTGGTACAATAGAGGTGTCTTGCCTGTTGGGGGGAAAAGGGGAGGGTGGACTGGTTGCAGAAAGTGCTTTTCGGTCAACAAATGACCTTCATCAGCTGCAGAGTCAGAAATAAAAAAAGAAAAAATTTGGGACGGAGGGGGTCGGTAAGCAAAGGTGTCTCTCCTTTGTTTAGTGAGGTTTCATCAATGGTGTCTCGCCATTGTGAATGATATGAGCCATCTCGGCTTTATAGTCTCATGCTTGATCATAAGTGTCTCGCTTGTGTCAAGTAGGATGGTATCCAGAATCACTGTTCAGTCTAAGATGCTGTAGCCTGTTAAATTCTCCTCCAAAACAAAAGGGATACGAGCTGGACGGTATGAATTGAGCGTGTGAGTGGCTCAAGAGTCCGAAGTCGACTCAAGGGAAGATTTTGCAGGATGTGGAGAGAGTGGGGTTAGAAATAATAGCAGAGTAGTGATTGCAGTGCAGCAACACATAAAAGCTGACAGAATTTTTCCAGGGATATTTTTCTGGTTGTTTTCTGTTAAAGGTATCTTTTGCAAGATTTTCCCACCAAATCAGAATTCCCTTTTAAAAAAAACTATGTATATATTTCTTTTACTCAAAAACCATTGCTCAACCCCTCCCTGCACGTTGCACGTGATTTAGATGTTTTATTGCATTTTTGATGAAATAATTTAATTCTAAATAACTTACCAGTATATTAGACCACCTTGTCTTCCTGCACAGAAATAAATATTGACTGCAGATGCTTTTTATTGTTTTCAGTGTCTGAAATTAGAAATGGGAAGTAGATTTGATAATACATGTACTAGTAAACATATTAAAGGTTGTCAAGCCAATCTCAGAGGCTCTCCCAGTTATCCAGCTTATCCAGATTTTGTGGTTTTGAAAAAGTCATGTGACAAAGTTGATACAAGTCCCTAACATTTTTGATTTGCACGGTAAATTCCAAACAACTGCTACTAAAGCTCAGAAATAACAAGTGGGCATGCATTGAAACAAGCGCAGTGTCCATGTCGGCTATGAAACTCGGGTTGAAAGGATTATTCTGCCCACTCTATGCTGCTGTAGAATTTATGTTTTTATGTTTTTATTAATAAACATGTTCCTTTGTTGCTTTTGTTTGTTTGTTTAGCATGAACATTTATGTGATTAATCTTTTTATATAAAATACATGATGCACTCATTAGATTCCTGTAAGTAAATGCTTTGTTTTAATTGCATTATGGAGATGGGCACAACTATATTTAATTTTTGTTTCAAACCTGATAACAGAAGGTGAAACAATTGTTATTAGGGGTGACAGGTGACCAGACTGATTTATTGATCGTAACATTTTTAGCCTAACAATAGT